AGAATTGCTTAAACTCAAGGGTTGAAATTGCTGTGACACTACAACACTCTACCGAGAGTGATATAGCGAGACTCTGTCTCAAAAAAAAAAAAAAAAAAAGCATTATCTGTATCTGCAATTTCTGCTTCAGTAACTGATGATCAAAAATAATAATAAAAAATACAAATTATCAAGTTAATACAGTATAACAACTGTTCACACAGCATTTACATTCTATTAGGTACTATGAGTATAAGGAATCTAGGGACTAAAGTGCACAGGACAATGTGCATAGCTTATTTTATATTAGGGACTTGAGCATCCACAGACTTTGGTATCCATAGGATAACCTAGGACCAATCCTGTGCAGATACCCAGAGAAAACTGTACTTCTAAGCGCACCAGTCAAAATCCATGTCACAGCCCAGGTCGATATGCTCCCATTATGAGCTCCATGATTAATGTGCTGTCAGCATACTAAATGAACCTAGGTTAAATTGTTTGGGGGCACCATGAACCACATCCATAAAAGATTAACTTAATTTATGAATGTGTGTGTTCTCCCTTCTCTCTCCCTCTCTGTGGGTCTCCCTAATTCCTGAGATACAACACTATTAAAATTAAACCAATAAATAACCCTACAACGTCCCCTAAGTGTTCAAGTGAAAGGAAGAGTCACACATCCTTCACTTTCAATCAAAAGCTAGAAATGATTAAGCTTAGTGAGGAAGGAATGTTAAAAGTTGAAATAGGCTGAAAGGTAATCCTCTTACACCAAAAAGCCAAGTTGTCAATGTAAAAGAAAAATTCTTGATGGAAATTAAAAGTGCTACTCCAGTGGACACATGAATGATAAGAAAGTGAAACAGTCTCATTGCTCCTATGGAGAAAGTTTGAGTGGTCTAGATAAAAGGTCAAACCATGCACAATATTTCCTTAAGCTAAATCCTAACCCAGGACAAGGCACTAACTCTCTTCAGTTCTAGAGAGCTGAGAAAACACTGAAGCTAGCAGAAGTTGGTTCATAAGATTTAAGGAAAGAAGCCATCTCTCCAACATAAAAGTGCAAGGTGAACCAGCAGATGTGGATGGAGAAATTACAGCAAGTTGTCCAGAACATTTGCCTAAGATCACTGATGAAGGTGGCTACACTTAAAAACAGATTTTCATTATAGACAAAACAGCCTTTTATTGGAATAACATGCCATCTAGACTTTCACAGCTAGAAAGAAGTCAATGACTAGCTTCAAAGTTTCAAAGGACA